ACAAAATTGTTATTTTTGTAACAAAAATCTGCTTTTATTATTTGTGACAGCATTTTAATATTAAAAAAACAACAATTTTGTTGTTTTTTAACAAAAATAACCTTTGATATTCAGAACTACATTTAATGTTAAAAAATAACATTTTTGTTATTTTTTAACTATAATATGATTCTAAACATTCAAAACAAAAATTAATAATAAATATCGCTTCAGATATTCAGAATGGCATTTTATTATTAAAATTAAAAAAATTAATTATTTTAATAATAAATGTCACTCTCCTCTAACTATTGGGATAGCATTTTTTATTAAAAAAATAAAAAAAAATATTATTTTTTTAATAATAAATACACCTTTGATTATCAGAATAGATTTATTATTAAAAAATAGTAATTTTTATTTTTTTTAATAATAAGCACCTTTGACTATCAAGGTGGACTTTATTATTAAAAAATATAGTTTTTATTTATTTTTAATAATAAATGTTGCCTTCAACTATCAAGAAGGTATTTTTTATAAAAATTAATAAAAATCAATTTTTTTAATAATAAATGCACCTTTGACTATCAAGACGGACTTATTATTAAAAAAAATAGAGATTTTTATTTTTTTAATAATTAATGTAATTAATGTATTCCTGACTATCGGAAAGGACTTTATTATTAAAAAAATAAGTTTTTTTATTTTTTAATAATAAATTCTGCCTCTGACTTTCAGAATAGACTTATTATTAAAAAAAATAACTTTTTTATATCTTTTAATAATAAATGCTATTTCTGACTATTGGAATTATACATAAAGTCAAAATATATCATTTTGGATATTAGAAATGATCGAAATGATCGAAATTATTTTGACTATTGGAGGTCAAAAGTCAAAATAGTCAAAATGATGTTATATAATATGGGAACATTTCCAGTAAAATAAAGTCATGAGACATAGTAATCATATGATTCATAATGTGATTTTACTGGAAATGCTCCTACATGATTTTTATATATAGAAAAATAAAAAAAACAAAAAATATATGATCTTAGTCAATATCACTCTGATTAAAGATGGTACAGCAATTGATTTCAAATTTACAAAATGTTGTAACATAAGCTAAAATTAGTTGCAACATATGTTGTAACATTATAAGTTGCAACATATATAGGTTAAAACTAATTGCAACGTAAGTTGTAACATTAAAAGTTGCAACATATTAATTACAGTTCCCATCTTTAACTCTGATTTATAAGAATCAACTACCATTCAATTTCTCACAATTAGACGAATCTAATGAGCTAACATTTATTGATTTTGGATCATCCAATCTTGTGATAATCACAATTGTATTATCAGCCAAAATTATAAATCATTAAATTTTACTTTAAATAAAGGAGTCCAGATTTCAAAATTCGATCGCAAATATCTTAAGATTGGCTGATCTAAAATCAATGAATGTTAGCTTATTGGATTCATTTAGTTGTGAGAAATCGAATGGTAGTTGTTTAATATGAATCAGAATAATATTGATCGAGATCATACATCTTTTATTTTTTTATTTTTTCTATACAGTTGAATTTCATTATAACAAATCTCCATTTTTGGAAGTCAAAATTTGTTATATGAGAAAATTCAGTAATATCTATACTAAATTTTAACAATTTATTCATTATATAGTAATACTGAATATCATATTCAAATTCAGTATATAATAAGTTTGAAATAATGTAAAACAAATAAATTTAAATAATAAATAACTAATGAATTAAAATTATAAAGGTATGCTTTCTCTTAGTCAGATATAGATTAACCTATAATTGTTGATCCTGAATATCATATTAAGGTAGCAAGGTTTTTTTTAATGAAATTCAGAAAAAAAATTTATAAAATAAACTGAGTGAAAGTGATAAGTAAAGATAATGAATAGATAAAGGAAAAATTGACTAGTTGTAAAAAATTATGAAGATAGAAAAAAGAGTGAAAATAGTTGGAAAAAGCGGATTATTAAGGGTTATGGGTTTCAGATTGTGAGGAGTTATTAGGAAAAGGAATTGATGATTCTAAAAAATATAAATTTAAATTTATGTTAAAATAATATTGAAATTAAACAAAATAAATTTCTTATCTTAATTTCTGGCAGCCAATTTTGTACATCTTCTTTCTTGAACTCGAGATGCTAAATAACATAAATATTGAATTTTAATAATGATTTTTTTTCGATTAATAGAAAGTTTTATTATTCCAACCCGATCTCTTCCAAAATGGGATTTTGAATTGTTTCCCAAAAACTTTCCAACATACGTTCACTTTCTTTTCACGTTTCCATCAGCATATAATTCAAACAACTAAAAAATTAAAATTATTAAATTATTATTGTAAAATACAATTAATATAATATTTTTATTCTTTGTTTACTAGTAATTTACTTACTTTACAATTCCTGACCATTCCTTTAAATTTTTCCTTGTCTACAATCCATTAAATATCATCATGAATCTTTTCTGAATCTGCGCTATAATCTCATTCTAAAGGTAACTTTAATCTTCCAAATCTTCTTCAGTAATCTTCATTTCTTTCCCTTCTTAAATTGATCAAGTATTGCATTTCATCATTTGCCTATTCAATTGTAGCAAGCATTTTTGGAATTTGTTATTTCAAAAAGATTTAAAAATTGTTAATATAAATATTAAACAATTAAAAAAACAAAACCGCAATAAAAATTTTCTTATATAAAATTTTATCAAAATATATCAGCATTTAATAAGTTAGCAAAGTATCTAATTTTTATGTAACAATCAAAGAAATGATCTAATTTTTTAGTAATTTCAAAATTTACAGTTTTCACAATTGAAATTTTTGCAATTTTAAAATTTGTGCAGTTTTTATAGTTTCACAATTGCAATTTCAAATTTGAATTACAGAAATTAAATAAATTGAATCAACGAATTAATCACAACTGATTTAATACTGATTAATTCTAGGTTCAACATTAAGTAATCTGTGATTCAACACTAATTAATCCCTATAGAAATTTATTAAATAATTATACAATATGGTCGAAACTGCAGCTAAAAATTTAGCTAAACTAATTATCCAGTTTGAAACCAGTTTACTTAACATTTTTATTATATAATTTTAATGTAACTTGCAAAAAAAAAAAATTGTAAAATTTTTTTTTCATTACAACTATCAAATATATTTTATTCTTTATTAGTTATATCATTTCTCAAATATAAATCCTGCTGTTTAGAATAGAATTCTTCTTATTCTACAGCTTTACGTAACTTTTTTATTACACGAATTTGATTTTTTGAAAAATCAATTTTATCAGATTTTTGTTCTGCATAAATGATTATTTTGTTAAGTGTTACTAATGCTTTATAATTACACTAATATTAGAAATTTCTGGTTCTTCATTATTTGGTTCTTCTTCTGGTTCCTTCATTAATTCTATAATTTTCTCATCTGTTATTATCTGATGAGTTATTTCATCTTTTTCACATTGCAAATATTCTTCATCAAAAATTGGATTTTTGTATATATTAGAAGTTAATTGAACAATAATTCTTGTATTTTATTGATTTCATTAGAATCTGTAAAATCAACAAAATCATCAACATCAATTCTTTCATCATCATCAGTATTTGGCGGAAGAATATCTGTTTTCCTCTAACAATTTATAATTACTTTTAGTTGAACCAAATCCCATGCTTTTGCTACATATTTAATTGTCTTTTTTATTGTAATTTCAGTTATAGGTTGATCTGTTTTTTGATTATTATCAAATGCTTTAATATAATTTTGTAAAAATAACTTCTGATAATATGCTTTAAAACTTCTAATAATTCTAGCATCACAAGGTTGGAGATGTACAATTGTATTAGAAGGTAATTTATAAAGATAAATATTAAAGAATGTAGTATTCTCATGTAAGATATGAGTAAATGCATCATCATAAAGTAAGGTTATATGATGATTCTTAGATATGAATCAAAAAGTTTTAACCAATCATTTTAGATACTAACTTGCATATAAGTTGTTTTATTCCAATAATAATGTATAGGTAGTGACGATTTTGAAATATGTTTTAAGGTACGTAGATTTTGACTTTTTCTAATGAAAACTGTCTTGGCTTTTTTGATTCCTGAAGTATTATAACTAAGGTTGCTAGACGAAATCAAGAGTTTAGACAGACGTCTAATTGGTAAAAGTAAAACTTGGTTAAATTATATTAAAACCTTATTAAAAAATCTGCGAAATTTGGAAAAAGGTAAAACTATATCAAAGCTTATAAAAATGGCGAAACTATATCAAACACTTAGTAAAAATTTAGCGAAAATAAAGGTTTTACCGTTTTGCTAAATCCAAAATGAGTTTAGACAAGCAACCTTAATTATAACACATGTAACAGTAACACGTTCTTTAGATTGTTTTCGACCTGCAACTAATATAAGTATTATTTTAAATTTATATAATTATTTATATCATCAATTAATATTAATTTTTACCTGGTCTAGTAGATAAAGTCCGATTTGACTCCATTTTCCAATAAAGTCTAGTTTCATCTATATTAAATATATCATTAGGTGAATAATATTTAAGAATATTTTGAAGATTTTTACACATATCATCTAAATCTTTTAAAGAAACACTTGCAACCTCTTCATGTCTCAAGTAATATTCAATATTATGACGTTTTTTGAAACCTGTTAACTAAAGATAGGACTTAAAATATTTTTTCAATATTTTTGTTTTTAAGACTTAATTAAGTTATTAAGGAAACTTAAAAACTTAATTAAGTTTATATTTTATTATTATATTATATATTTATAAAAAATCAAATATTACAATCAAATTCTATTTATATTTTATTATTATAATATATATTTATAAAAGATCAATATTACAACCAGATTCAGTTTATATTTTATTATTATACTATATATTTATAAAAGATCAATATTACAATCAGATTCCTCAAATTTTTTAACATTAAAAATTTTCACTAATTATCAAAATATCAATAATTCTTCATTATCATTATCTACATCTTGTACTTTACCTAATAAATCATTTGTTTCTTTTAAAATTTCTTCAGCTATATTATTCAATTCTATATTATCAGAAAAATTATATTTAATCAATTCAATTCTCTTTTGTACAATAATTTCTTGACATTCTATTATTTTTTCATTATTTTCTTGTTTTAAATATTCTTGTTTCAAATACTATAAAATTTTTGCTAATTTACCAGATCTTTCAGCCATTAGTCAATTTCGTTTTGCTGTATGAATATTAGATAATACTGATTAAATTCTTTTAAATACTGCAGCATTAGGTATTATTGCAAAAAATCATTATGCAAATACACTTAATTCAGGATATATTTCTTCTATACTTTATCAAATTTCATAGGATTATTTACAAATATTGGTTTCTAAAGAGATTGTTTATTAAAAATTTCTGTTTTGTTTTGATAAGCTAACCATCCTTCTAAAAATGCATTAATATTATAATATAGATAAAGCTTTTTGAATAACTGATAAGCTATTTTTTGTATATCTAATACTACATCATACATAAGATAATTAGGATCATTTGATAGATGTAAAGTCTATGAAACAATAAATGTAGGATCATAAATTTTTTTTTATCAATTATTTAATTTGTTGTGAAGAAAAGTCTTTATTTCTAATAAAGATGATAGAAGATTTTTAAGAATTCCAGTAAGCCAAGCCCAAGAAGTTATTATTTGAGCCAATATCATATTATTGGATTTAAATAATTTTGTCATACAATCATAAGGACGTATAATTTGATAAAATATTTCAAGTTGTGTCCAAAAATCCAAATCCTCAATTATAGTAATAATTGTAGAATTATTTTTTCTTTTTCCTGACATTAAAAGAGATTTATTTTGAATAGCCATAATCTATTAAATGAAATATAAATTTAATAAGTTAAATTTTTTTAAATAAATAATCATTTATGTAATAAATACCTTTAAATAATCCTTCATAATTATTACTTATAATGCTGATATTGTGAAAGTAGCCTAACATGTTAAAGTCAGATATTGCATTTTAAAAGTTGACTTATCAGAAAGTTAACGAAGTTTATGAATTGCTAAATTAGCAGTACGAAAATGACCAATAATTATAAGCATTTATTTAATTATTAGTTTAAAATATGCAAATTCAATTATATTTTTAGCTAATAAATTTTCTTGATATGCTATACAAAGTAAGCATAAAACATGCCCTTGAATTTTAGGATTCTAAATTAATAAAATATAAGATTTAAATTTTATTAATTTATTAAATATAATAAATAAAATATATATATACAAAATTCATTAATTGTCTAGTTTTAGCATAATTTCCACCACTATACGTAACAAATTCAGCACATTTTTTAAGTTTGATTTCCATATCAATTTCTTTATAATCCATATAAACATTTTCATCTAAATGTTGTTGATTTGTTTTGTTTTTTATTTTACATAATTCACTTTGTCAGTTTTCATTAACTAATATATAATTCATAATATTATTACACGTTTGACTAGTTCACCCATTTCCAGAAAGAGTTATAAAATGTGAATTAGTTATAAAATTCTGAATTTCAATTTCAACATCATTATTCAAATCCTTAATTTTATCTGTACTATACCATTTTTGGGATGATAATTTAAAATATAAATTAAACATAGCAAATAGTTTTTTAACTTCAGGATCATTAACAAATGAAAAAGGTAAATTAGCTGAAGTAACTACGTGACCAATTTGTTTGTAAATTGCTTTATTTCTCTATATTAAAATGGTTTATCTGTATAATCATCTATTGATTATTGAATTAAATTTGCTTTCGATTGTATTTGTTGTAATCATAATAGTGTTATTACAGATATATTAGTAATTGAAGGGGTAGATAATAACTGCTGTTTGTTTGTTTTTGTTTGCTTCTTTATTATTTTTTATAATCTCTTGAAAAGTTTCTTTAATATCATTACCAGCATCTTTACATTCACAAAGATGATTAATCATTTGTTCTGAAACGCCAAAAATATTTTTTCCATAAGAATTACAAATATAGTCAACTCTCTATAAGTGCATCACCTATAAGTGCACAACTTTTTTATATGCACACTTTATCCTGGTCCCAAGCTGGGACTTAAAGCTAAGTGCACACCCTCTATATTTATACTGTGCAATGAATCTCCAATCCCTATCTATATTAATAATATACTTCTTAAATGCACACACGTGACTTTTGATAATATGATTATGTGATTTTACATAATTAGAATTCAATCAGATTTAGTTAGCACTAATTGATAAAGTTTACGAATTGATACAATTAAATATTTTGTGTTCTATAAAAAAAAAAAAAAAAAAAAAAACTACCTTTTTGTATTTCAAATTTTTAAAAATTCATTCTTTTAGTTTTAATTTTCATGGAATATTATTAAATTTTGTATTTTAAACATGTAGATTTATATAAGTTACAATAAACCACAACTGTCAACCATGACAGTAATAACTTTAACCACAACAATATTGAATAATATAAACCACAATCTAAATTAAAATTCAACCGAATTATGTCTAAACTATAACACCATAATCACAACCACCTTGACTATAGCAATATTAATATAATCGCAACTTATTAAATAAAAAATAATAAGATATTAATACTTTATTTAATAATATTTAAGTTTTTTAAAAAAAAATTCTAGAATTCTGAAAATACTTATTACTAATTAGTTTATATTAAATGCTTCTTTTTCTATATTTTCTAAAGCATAGTTAGGTCCTATACTACAAGACACATTTTCATTTTTTATTAAAATTTTCTCAATCATATTCACTGATCAACCAATGGATCGGTAATTAATATATTTTAATGTGTTTTTTCGCATTCCAATTTTTTTTGCTTTTTTTGCTTTATCTTTTTCCTCACTTTTTTTTTTAACTAAAAATCAAATTATGAAAAAACTTACCTTAACAAATATTCAAAAATATGAGCTTTATACTTATGCTAGTAATAATAAAAAACCTTGAGGTGAATATGTAGATTGGGTTGAGCAAAAATGGAGTGTTAGAATTCATGAGAGTACAGTAACATGAATTTTACAATCTCAAAACAAACGACTTACCTCTGAAGTTACCTATTCAGAACAAAAATGGCATAAACCTGTTACTTTTCTATTGCTTGAATTTGCTCTTAAGGAGTTTGTTTTAAGTTATCAACACTGAGCTATTCTGAATAATGCAATATTAACTGAAAAAGCTAAATTATTAGCAAGTGGATTATGAATTCCTGAAAATGCATTACAGTTTTCTTCTGGTTGGCTTCAAGGATTTAAAAACGTAATAAAATTCATCAGATAAAATTACAAGGTGAAGCAGTATTAGCTGATCAAGCTACTATTATAGAAGCTTTACCATTAATACGTGATAAATGTAATTATTATCCTCTTGAATGGATTTACAACATGGATGAGACTGCTCTTTTCTATAGGTATGTTTACATTTTTTTTTATTTTAATTATTAATATTTTATTATATTATAATTAATTAATAATAATATTATAGATTAGATCCAGATTGGACATTAGCTACAAGACGTCTTTCTGGACATAAAAAAAGCAAAGAACAGCTTTCAATTACTTTATGTACAAATGCTAATGGGTCTCATAAATTACTTCCACTCATAATTGGCAAGTATAAAAATCCGCGATATTTCAAAAATGTTAATATTCAAAATTTATCAATAAAATATTATAATAATACTAAAGCTTGGATGCTTAGTACTCTTTTTCAAGAATGGCTTCAGGATTTTGATCATCTAATGGCTCAAAAATATGGGGTCAATGTGTTTTACTTTTACTTGATAATTATCCAAGTCATAAATTAGAAGGTTTAAACCTTCAACATGTTGAGATTTGTTTTTTACCTCCAAATACTACATTAAAAATTCAGCCAATGGATGCTGGGATCATTATATCTTTCAAAAAAAAGTATTGTAGTTTTCATATTCGGTATGTTAATTTATTTTATTAAATTTTTTAATTTAAAAATTTATTACTTATCTTTTTTTATTTAGATGAATATTAGAACAAGTTGAAGCTGGCAACTTTATTCAAGATTTGAAAATGGATGTTTTATAAGCAATCCATTTTATTATTCAAAGTTAGAATGATGTTACAACTGAAACAATTTATAATTGTTGGCAACATACTAGTATTCTTTCTGATAATGCTAATTTTGTATATTACTTATGAAGCTGATGATTTAACACTTGATGACCTTTTTGAACAACTTGAAAATCTTCATCTTCCTGACATAATGTATGTAAAAGAATTTCTTAATTTTTCTGATGAAAATATTGTTTATGAAATTCTTAATGATGATCAAATTATTACAAAACTTGTAAATATTTTTAAAGAAAGGTCTGATGAAAATATTAATAATCTGGATGAAATTGATGATAGTACTGAAACAGAAGTTATTAATACTAGAGTAGCATTAAAAAGTTTAAAAACTGGACATAAATTTTTACTTTAACAAGAAAATGCAAATGAATGTATAAAGCTAGTAAATGTAGTTGAAAAATTTATTAGGAAAAAACAAACAAATTTGATGCAATAAACTACTATAGATTAATATTTTAATTAGTAATTATTTTATTTTTATATAAAATAATAATTATAAATAGTAATTAATAAAATAATATACATATTTCTAATATTAATATTGTATTTTATTATATGAATTTTTTATGTTTTTTATAAATACACTTTCTCTATAAATGTATGCTTATGTTCAGTCCTAAGAGGATGCATTTATAGTGTATATCATTAATCATCCTTCATGATACGATTATACAAAGGTGTATTTCAAAAGCCCTATTGATTCTAGAGTTTATGTAAATTATATAAAGGAGAATCATTCTAGTTAGTGAATCTATTTATCCATCTTATACAAATAACAAATAAAAAATAAGCTAAACATTTAAACAAACTATAATTTACATCATTGATATTAGGTTGTACCAATCCAATATATTGTTTAACATAATAAGGTTGGGATTTATTAGAGGGAGGAGACACAATTTAACAATATATAAGTCATGTGACATTTACGATTTATAAAATAGAAAATACGTATAACCATATAGTCACTTTATTAATTATTTATTTAATTATTAATCTTACGTCTTTTTGCTACTCTTGTATTGATTTTTATTTCACCACATACAAATATATCCTTTCCTGCATTTCGGCATAACTTATAGTATGAGAATAAGAATTTATTTTCAATTTAAGGCTTTCCAGAGGTACTGCCAATTCATTATCATGTCCGCACCAATAACAAACATTACAATTAATATTAGATTTTCAGCATAAATAATATGCTGGTTCTATTGGTATTTCACAAGTAATTTTTTCCTGTACAAAATTTTGTTATATAAAATATGATCCTCCGTTACCAATAGTGATTTACAACTGTAATCCCAATCATCAATGGTGATTTGACATGCTATTTTATTTTCTGCTGATAATGCACATTCACTATAAAGACAATGCATTGAAAGCATTGAATAAATTCATGAAAACGTGTATTTACTAAATAGATGATGATGCTCATTCACTACTTACAATTGTTGCTATAAGTGTTAGACAGTGCTATTCTGTAGTTTCTGATCAGTATACTGTTTGAAATTTAGCATAGTGGTCTTTATCAACTGTGATTAATAAAAATTATTTATTAATCCAAACTCAATTCTATCATTATGCAAACAGCATAATATATAAAAAGAACGCACTTGTAGAAGGAATAGGATCTGGTAGCCAATCAAGTGAGTTAAAAATATCATGTGAGAGTCAGATAGATTTACAATTAGTGCATGATAGTTGCCCACATTTTTTTATCTAATGAGAAATTATAATTAATAATTATTTTAATTTTTATATTTAAGTGAATGAGAATGTTTCACCTGAAAACATACTGATGTTGCCTATAATGAGTTTGCATAAATTGTTGTAAATGCATTTTTTTTAACAGAATATCACTTGTTGTTTCTGAGATTTTCAAAGTTTAATCAATTAATAAAATTATCTAAAAATATAGTATAGTATTAATATTTTAGTATTAAAATTTGTCCAATTTAAATTTTAAATACTTACATTAAAAAATTCTTCAATTGTTGTTTTCTTCACTGGATTATAGCCTTGAGATGGTTTATTATGTAAAACTAATCTTTCTATACAGCTTTCCAATAGTAGTTGTATACGTTTTATGAATTCACTTAAATCATTTTATAAGGTTGGGTTTGTTTTAGAGATAGTACGAATTTCATCTAACATATCCAATTTTGCAAATGCTATTTCAGATTCTGGACTCATTGCATCTTTAACTAATGCCACACCTTATAAACCTAAATTTATAATAGACATAATTCTCTCTGCTGGATTAGTCCAACTATGGTGAGGTGTTGTACGCATAGCAATGAGCATATTAAAATCCTCATATAAAAATAAACAAATGAGAGAAATTTGAATTGAACCAAATATTGTATGATGATCAGGTCTTCCATCAGTATAAAGACAAAGAATTAGAGAAATGTTACCAAAATGATAGGTGAAAATTGCATTAAAAAATTCAGTAGTATGCCTAATAGCATTATAAGACTGAAAAACTGTATCTTTAAACTATAAAAAGAATTGTTAATTGATTCAGGAATATTACAAAAATATATAACAGAAGGGGTAAGAGATAATTTTGTGAAATTATGGTCACATGCAACTAAAGAAGTTTCTTGAAAAACCATAGTTTTTCTATTTTGTATACTAGTGAAAGTGTTAATACTATAGTTCCTCAAAATTGAATCAAATCAAATCAAATTAAACTCAAATATTTGATCGAATCAATTTGAATCGATTTGAATTTGATCGAATTGAATCAAATTGAATCATATGGGAGCTTTGCTATTAAAAATGGGTTTTAGGGACCTTTCAACAAAAAATGAGATTTTTGATTCATATTATAGTATACTAAATGAACTTTATTTGGTTAAATTTTTA